GTTGGGGCGGCCACAGGGAGGCTGAGCCGGTTTGGGCGCTACCTGCCCGAAGAGGGGTTCCCCGAGTCGTCTCGTGTGCAGCTCTCCCCTGGGTCTTCCGCGGTGGCCCAGGCGCTTGATGGTGGTCAGCGTCCTGGGTGCTGGCACGAAGGCAAGACGCCCAGTCCCCACCACAGGGCCCTGCCCCAACCTCTGCTGCTGACCCTCCTCACCTGTCACCTGAATCTCTCGCGTTGGGCAGCTGGCCTGCCCCTGGGGCTCCCAGCGGCAGCGGGGCTTGGCGGCCTCTGTTCCGCTCAGATCTCCCCTCGAGGGCTGTGAGGATGGTGGCCTCAGGGGGAAGAAGAGCCAGCCCACGGCTCCAGGGAGCTCTGCGGGCTCGTCCCTGCGCGCTCACACGGCCTGCAGGCTCCTGCTCCCGAAAGCCGGGCCGCTTCACCTCCTTGGCGTGCGTGTGGTTTCCAGCCTGGTGCTCACGGACTCGTCGCCATTTAACCGGAACTGGAAACAGGCCTGTCCTGGGGCCTGGAGTCAGCAGGGACGAGAGGGAGGACGTCCCCGGGAATGCCCCTCAAGAGCATCCTCGCCCTCCCCACCACCCCTGCACACCCACACATCCAGGAGCGTGAAGGGTGATTCTCTTACAGGCATGATTAATGTGCACGAGGGAAGGGCTCTGGAGGGAGACGGGGCACCATAACGTGTCTACGTGTTCGCATGTTTGCTTGTGTGTGTGGGAGGGGCAGAAGGAGGACTCAAGGCCCCAATGCCCAAGGGCCCGCGGGACACTCAGGCACTCTCTTAGCAGCCATCAGGAGTACCAGTTCTCAGAGAAGGGCAGGCAGCATGGGCAGGGCTGCTATAGGCCCTGCCGTGGTGCCCAGCTGGCAGGTACGTGGTGCCGTGGCTCCCAGCTGGCAGAGGTGCACGGTGCCGTGGCTCCCAGCTAGCAGAGGTGGGGGGTGCTGTGGCTCCCAGCTGGCAGAGGTGCGCGGTGCCGTGGCTCCCAGCTGGCAGGTGTGCCGTGCCGTGGCGCAGACGCTCAGAACGTGTGTTCTCTTGGCAGCTGCACGGCTACCTAGAGAAGGAGCCACTCACACTCCAGCTCTTCATCGGGACGGCAGATGACCGGCTGCTGCGGCCCCACGCCTTCTACCAGGTGCACCGGATCACGGGGAAGACCGTGTCCACCACCAGCCACGAGGCCATCCTCTGCAACACCAAAGTGCTGGAGATCCCGCTGCTGCCCGAGAACAGCATGCGAGCCATGTAAGCGTCGGCACCCGCACCCTGCTGGTGTTCCGGGACCCCGCCGGGCGGACTTCGCAGACGTGCCCGGGCAGCTGGGGTCCTCCTAGAGGGCCAGGCACTGTGAAGTTTGCCACTTAGGTAGAGGCCTGGCAGCTAAGCCGCACTGCCTCCCCTCCCGAGTGCTGCCAGACCAGAGGGGGCTCAGGGCAGTGCCAGGAAGCTGGAGAGGGCGACGGCCTGCCAGTCTCTTCCCTGAGGGACTGCCGGTCAGCCCAGCACCCATTAGTGCAGTCATGGGCTCTTGGCACACTGGCCGCAGATCAGGCCCCGGCCCCAGCTGCACCCCGCCGTCCCGGAGCTGAGCAGCTCCCACGTGGGTGAGTCAGCCCTCACCAGATCCGGGCGTGGGGGGGGAGCGGTGGTCTCCTGGGATTTGGACAGACCTGAGGCCAGAGAGCAGAGTAGCCACACACATGTGAGCAGGCCAGAGAGGGCAGAGGTGACAGCGGACCCTTGCAGGTGTGGAGAGAGGATGTGAGCAGGTGGTGGGGCCAGCCCTGGGTGGAGCGACCTGGTGGGGCTCCGGCAGCAGGGGGAGGCCTGGGGCAGCGGCATGCCTGGGGCGTCCCTGACTGGAGAGGAGGAGCAGCCAGTGCAGCCCCATGTGGTAAGGAGTGTAGGGCCCTTATGGGGCAACCATGGGTCATCTGTAGCTTTTAGACCTTCTAAGCCAGAAGCAGATGGGCGGTCTCTCCTCTGCGCTGGCGATTTGTGACTTGGAGGGACCAGCTGTGCTGCCTGGCTCGGCGCAGACCCCGGCTTCACCTGTAGAGCTGCACGCCAGCTCTCCGGCCGGGCTCGGCCAGTGCTGAGAACCCGTGTCCTTCACAGCAGCAGAGCCTGGGCCCTGTCCACTACACGCCACACAGCAGCAGCCCCAGGACACGGCACAGCCCAGAGCTAGCGTGTGCCCTGGCTGGTGCTGGCGTGTCCCAGCCAGCGCCTCACATGGGCCTGGGCGGGCAGCAGGCCAGGCACCCCTGCTCTCGTGGAGCAAGTGAGGGTGGAAGTGCTGGGTTTTGTTGCATCCAGAGTTTACGCAGGAAGTGTTTTACTGCAGCCTAGTTTGGGATGAAAGTATACAATATTATTAAATGAAATGACATGAAACCCAGAAGAGTTCCGTGAGAAAACACATTTGAAACCGCAGTGGGAATTAGGGCAGCGCTGAAGTGAAATGGCGCTGGGAGCTGCTGCGAGACGCAGAGTGGCCTGCAGGTCCTCGTGGTTCCGGTCCTTGCACTGCCACTGCGCACGTGCGTGGCCAGTAGGGCCTGAGCCTCTGGGTGGGCCGGAGAGGGTGGGGCGTGGCTCTGCCTACGGCCGCCCAGGCCCTGTACCTCTGGCACGGGGAGCCCCGCCCTTGGCCAGCACTCCGGTCTCTGGCATCCAGTGTCATGTCCTTTGGTGGGAGGAGTCTCGGGGCCCCAGCCGGGCGGATTAGCGCTGGGCAGAGCGGGCCAGGCCCCATGAGGCCGGGGCACGTGGGCACAGGCCCTGGTCCCCACAGCAGCGGTTAGAGATGCCGCGGCTTTCTTTTCGGGCAGCATCGATTGTGCCGGGATTTTAAAGCTCAGAAACTCCGACATCGAGCTGCGGAAAGGAGAGACGGACATCGGCCGGAAGAATACCCGCGTGCGGCTGGTCTTCCGCGTGCACATCCCGCAGCCCGGCGGCCGGACGCTGTCCCTCCAGGTGGCGTCCAACCCCATCGAATGCTGTGAGTGCCTGGGGGCGCATGACTTTAGGGACCCCTTCCCTCTCCCCATCCGTGTGCTCTGGAAACACACACTCCCTGTCCAGACACAGTCCCGTCTCCATGTTGCCAAGCCGGGTTTCGGGACAGCTCTGCTCAGTTCATGGCTCTGTCGGGACAGAGGCTGCCCAAAGCCTCCACACCTTCCCGGCTGGTGGCCTGACAGGAGAAAAGGAAGGCTTTGCCCTGAGACAGCGATAGATAGTCCTTAGGCCCCACTGGGTGCCTCCCTCAGTCCAGGGGCCTTGGAAACATACACCTGGGTGGTGCGGTCCACCAGAGCCATCGAGCCTTCCCCTGTAGCCCATGTACGAGCAGTCGCCTTCCCCGGTGGCACTTGGGGGCTGTGTCCTGCCTCGGTGCAGCGGCGTGGCTGACACTGCCCCTCCAGGAGCCTAGTGGGACCCAGGCCTCCTGCTCGTCCCACTCCCAGCGAGCTCGTTGGCAGCACTGGGACATACAGGGACAGGTGCCCCTCAGCCCCAGCGAGCCACAGCCTGAGGCCTGTGTCCCACCCCTAGCCTGAGAGCAGGAGGCACAGATGCCCTGGCACTTCCCCTGTCCCACGGCCCGGCCCAGCCCAGCTCCACCTCCTCAGCCTTCTTCAGCAGCAGGATAAGGGTGGAGTACCCTGAGCTGGCTCCTCCACCTGCTGGGCTCAGGGCTGCGTCTCCTGGTGGCCTTTGGGGCTGATGGGAGGCCTTTAGCCCCGCTGCCCTGCTCCTCTGCAGCGCCTGGGGCCCCTCATGAACATTAACCTCATGGTTGCCGTTGCCCTTCCCCCTGTCCCTCTCCAGTACGCCTATGACTTGGCGCCCAGGCCTGGCCCGGTGCCTGCCCTGTGGGCTCGGGCTATTGGTGGGGTCAAGGGGCAGCCTCGCCCTGGGGTCCTGTGACTTGCAGGTTCCCGCCCGTGTCTGTCACAGACGCTGGATCTCCTCGTACTGCTGGGGGTTCCTGGTCCCCTGCCCCCCAAACCTGACACCTTCTGTCTGGTGTCTGGTCCTACTGGTGTGAACCTTCCTTACCACGCTTCCGGTGCCTGCCCTGTGGGCTCGGGCTATTGGTGGGGTCAAGGGGCAGCCTCGCCCTGGGGTCCTGTGACTTGCAGGTTCCCGCCGTGTCTGTCACAGACGCTGGATCTCCTCGTACTGCTGGGGGGTTCCTGGTCCCCTGCCCCCCAAACCTGACACCTTCTGTCTGGTGTCTGGTCCTACTGGTGTGAACCTTCCTTACCACGCTTCCCCGGTGCACGCTGCCCAGAGAGGCCCTGCCATGCCGCTGCCTGGGCCCTAGCTGGGCACAGACTTACTGGACTATGAAATGTGTCATCCAGGGCTGTGGGGCTCAGCACCATGGCCTCCAGCTCCCAGGGAGCGTTCTTCTTGAGTCAGAGTAGAGAACTCTGTCCTGGTGTGTGCCCGCTCAGACCCTGGGCTTCCCCAACGGCAGCAGCCAGGCCCAGGTTCCAGCCTGCAGCCCACGCTGCCTCGCAGGCATCTCCATTCCTCACCACCAGTCCCCCGGTGGGCCAGCTCAGGTGGGAGGGCGGGAGTGCTGCTGTGGAGACCAACGTGTACACACGTGTGTGCATCACATGCAGACCTGCGTGCCCTCACACAGCACACACGACGTGTGGAAAGCAGGGATTCTCTGATGTGGACATGGTAGCACGTGGCTCCTGCCTGGTGTGGATGTGCTGGGCTGGGTGGCCGAGCCCCAGACAGCCCGGCACTCCCCGTCACGGCCCTGGTCCCACAGTCGTGTCCTGGCATTCCCTCGGGGCACGTTGGCACTGCTCTCCTGGCTTGTGCGCGCATGTGGCCCAGGGCCGTGGCAGCCTGGGAGACCAGCTCAGGCCTTCCTCTGCTGCAGCCCAGCGGTCAGCCCAGGAACTGCCCCTCGTGGAGAAGCAGAGCATAGACAGCTACCCGGTCGTCGGCGGGAAGAAGATGGTCCTGTCCGGACACAATTTCCTGCAGGACTCCAAGGTCATTTTCGTGGAGAAGGCTCCAGGTACGTTCTTTAGGCCGGCTGGCCTGCTGGGCCGTGGATGGTGCAGGTGGGGTGGCCTCTGAACGTGCCCCCCTGGCTGTGCATTCCCATCAGCATGTCTCTGCAGGCTGAGGCCTGCTGTTTCCGGGGCCCTCCCGTGCTGGGTGTGTGGTCGCTACTGCAGGACCCCTGCAGGTTGGGGTTCTTGGGAGGGTGCATGACTGGCATGCGTCCACCCGGCTGTGGGGCCCTGGCCTGGAAGGATGCCTAGGCTGGGCTGCTCTCCGCACAGGTCTGCAGGCACTTCTTCGAGAGACAGCCGGTCTGTAGCAGGGTGAGACGGTCAGGGCATGACCTGGCTGGTCCCCATCAGTCCTTCCCAGCTCCCCCACTGGAGCCAGCTCGTGGCCAGCACTGGGAGGCACTACTTTGCTCTGATGTGTGTGTGAGGCAGACCTCATGCCACAGCTGCCGGAGAGCCCAGGTCACACAGGGGGC